ATGAGACACCCGGACAAAGGTGTTTGCAATTTTCTTCCTCGGGTTCTTTATTGCTGGCTTGGTCCGCATGTTCAACGCCACTCGCATGCCATTTGGCTTCGGGATGCTTTGCACCGGACAGGCAGCTCTTGGCACCTTAGGTCGAGGTCGGGACACAAATGAGGCCCCCATGTGGTTCACGTGTTGTCTTTCAGCTGAGGTTGGAAAGCTGTGAGTTGGAGATGGATGTTTCTGCTCGTGAGATCAGGTTTTTTTCATGACAAGGAGCAGAGCAGGCGGAGTGCAAAGAATCCTCCGGATTCCTCCGGTGCATCCTCTTACTTAAGTCTCGAGGCCAGAGAGAAGAACTGGAGGCAATAGACAGCAGGGAGAATGGTCTGCGTTCACGGCGTTTGCTTCGGGCTCAAGAGCGGCTAACTGCGCAGACACGATATCATTGCAGCTTCTGGCCAAGCCTTGCTGCCTGTTAGCATCTTGATTGCAAGACTCGCTCGCACGACTTGCAGGAGGTAGGTCTAGGACTTAGGCAGACCTGACATGCGACAGGTCGAAAGATGGCGCTCCGATCTGCAACGATCCTCCTGACACTGGGCAGCAAAACTGGATGTCAATACCATCACACGCCCTACGACCCAAGCCCCACAGATCCGGTAGAGCCACAAGTGCCAGCTCTCAGACGGCACCAACGTCTCAAGAGTGAGAGCGCGAACCTACCAGGGTCAGTTGAAGCAAGGATCCCAGAACAAGCGGCTAAGGCCCCTGGCTGTCGTGGTGGCCTTCCTGACCCTGGCCCCCAGCTTCGTGCCGGCAGCCAACAAGGTGGAGCCGTCTTTGCGAGGCTCGGCCGCTTGGCTGTGATGTCGCTGGGAAGCAGTGCCAAACATCACAGGCCTGGCTGCCCTGTGGGAATTCCTCCGCAGTACGTTTGCCGCGTCCGCTGCGCGGCTAGCTCGAAAGCCCCTGACGCTCAGATGGTGCACCTGAGGCTGTGCTCACCTCTGG